TACAGATCAACTATGCCTAATTGGGTAGTCCATACACAAGTATAATCGCCAGATTGGAAGGTTCTCTTCTGACTCTGCTCTTTCCTCGGTCTCTTGTTTCCTTGCCTCTGTTTTCTCTCTCTCTCTCTCCTTATTTTATCTCAACTTCTCAACTTCTTTCTCCCATCCTCCAGTCCCAATCTCGTCTCTTCTCACCAGTACTTCCTCATCTTCAAAAGTTCCCTTATGTTTACCATCATCTCGCAAGAATCTGCTCGGAATCCTTTTCGTTGCATGTAAACTCACTTGGTTTCCAACGAGCCTGTTTGTCTCCACCTTCACGCAGCGACTTCATACCTTTTTTTTTCTCCTTCTGTTCTTTTCTGTCTCTATCTCTGGGTTTGTTTCTGTTTCACTTTTAAGCCCCCCCAATTGACAACATGCCTACCCTAAGTGGTCCTTCAACACTTGGTCGAATGGGAAATGGAGGACGTTTTACCTCCAATGATGCCATTGATGTGCGGAATCTCTCTTTTGGACACGAATCCTCGGTATGCTTCTTGAAGAACAAACCTTGAATTGAATCTCTAGCACACTAACTACATTGGTCGTGGCAGAGCCCTCAGACCTCGATTACTCATTACAGTTCTTCCGATGCGGCTGAAATATCCCGACATGCAAAGTTGCAGGCCTTGTCTGGTGAAGGGGCTGAGCACTCGGCAAGCAAGGTATGTGTTTCCTGTGCTATTGATTCGTGTGTGTGTGTGTGTGTGTGTGTGTGTGTGTGTATGTGTCTGTGGTCTCACAATCCCAGAAGCAGAAGCTAGATCATATCAAAGTTGAACCTTTGAACGGACAAACATCAGATCTTGACAGAATACTGGCAAGGATTTCTCCCAAAACAATTCCCCTCCCACGTTCTGAAACCGATCGCTCTTCTGGTTCGTCCCAGATCACCCCGGCCACAACGGTGCCGGCTTTACCCCTCACTGAAACCACCAAGCCTTACCCTCAGGAAGACAGAACGGTGGAGCTGCTTCGCCTTAAGCAGGAACTCCTTGCTGCAAATTCCAAGATTGCTCTGCAGGAACAAGAGCTTGCCCAAACCCGTGTGATAAAACATACCTTGGACCAAGCCCTTGGACCGTCATCAGAGGCTGATTTCGGCAGCCGCGAAATTACAGAGCAGACCATTAACCACCTGCAGAATGCTTTTAATGCATCGAGCTCTGCATTTGCTCAGTTTCAAGATGCGTGGGGTGCTCAAGATGATTCTCAATCTGATGTCTCAGATCCATTGTCTACAGGAGCCTACAACAGATCTCGCGCGCTCTGGGCCCACAATGAGCCTAACACAGACAGAGAATATGGAGAGAGCCTTTCGGGTACTAGCAGCTCTACAAGCCAGGACCCAAATCGGTTCTGGGGTGTCTCCAATGTGTATCCTCCATTTGCTGGCCCACCGTCTCTGCAATCACAAAGACCACACTCAGGGTCTTCAGCTAGTCCATGTGGATTCTACTCACGCCCCATTGGTGAACAGATGCTGTACCCCCAAGGACCTATCACCGGGGCCCGTCGCTCTATCACCCAAAGCAGTAGGGGTGGATCTCTATTTCCAATTCAGTCTACCCCCTGGTGTGAATTTGCTTCTGGGTCCTCCAGTGACCAGACAACTAAGTCACCTGCTTCGCCGAAGAGACCCCCCAGCGCCTTTCAACAGGTTGGACTTTACTCTGTGCCCTCTTACCCCCCTCGACCGATTGGCAGCCCCCTCTCGCCTACTGCTACCGAGTTTACAGGCACCAACGCGAATGAAACTACATGGAACAATTCGGTAAGAGATAATCATGTGCGTCATGTCTGCATCCATTCTAACCCTTATCAGATGAGCGGTAATTCCATCCAGACGTACGTGTCACCACTTGAACCACTCAACTACCGACGCCTGCTTGACAAGAACGTATCGTGTGATTGGAAGTACATTGTAGACAAGATCATCTGCAACAATGACCAACAAGCTTCAATTTTCTTACAACAAAAGCTGAAGGTCGGCACAACCGAGCAAAAGTACGAAATTATCGAGTCAATTGTGCATCAAGCCTACCCACTCATGGTCAACCGCTTTGGAAATTTCCTCATACAACGCTGCTTTGAACATGGAACTCCGGAGCAAGTCGTCGCTATCGCGAATGCGATCAGAGGTAATACGCTAAACCTCAGCATGGATGCCTTTGGCTGCCATGTGGTCCAAAAGGCGTTTGACTGCGTTTCAGAGGAGCATAAAGCTATTATGGTACACGAACTATTGCGCAGGATTCCTGAGACTGTAGTCCATCGATATGCCTGCCACGTTTGGCAGAAACTGTTTGAGCTCCGGTGGAGTGGCGAGCCTCCGCAGGTGATGGCCAAAGTAAATGACGCATTACATGGAATGTGGCACGAGGTTGCCCTTGGAGAGACAGGAAGTCTGGTTGTCCAAAACATCTTTGAAAATTGTGTGGAGGAGGAAAAGGTGAGAGACCCGCTACCATACACATCAAGCCCCTTTCCTCGCTATCCTGCTTCTCTGTTGGTTCTTTACAATCGTTTATACCAATGCTGATATTGTGTAGCGACCGGCAATCGAAGAAGTATTGGCGAAGATCGATGTACTCGCTCATGGTCAATTCGGGAATTGGTGCATCCAACACATCTGCGAGCACGGTGCTCCCCACGACAAGAGCCGTGCAGTTGAACATGTTCATCGCTGGGCGGTGGATTACAGTATGGATCAGTTCGCATCTAAGATTGTGGAAAAATGCCTCAAGATTGGCGGCACAGAGTTCATGGATCATTATCTCTCTCGTGTCTGCACTGGCCGATCTGACCGACCTCGCATGCCATTGATCGATAGTAAGTTACCAAGGCGTTAGCACCATGAGAAGATACTAATTTCCTTTCAGTAGCGGGTGATCAGTATGGAAACTATCTCATCCAATGGATTTTGATGAATGCCGCGCCTCATCAACGAGAGCTCGTGGCCAGTCACATTCGGTATAACTCCCTAGCAGCTCATTTTATACTTTGAGTGGTCTGAAGTCTAATCCGATTCAACTAGGAAACATATGGTCTCCCTTCGTGGCTCCAAATTTGGCTCTCGTGTGGCTATGCTTTGCTGCAACCCGTCTCACGCTACGCGTCCTGGTCCTGGGGCTGGAATGCAAATCGGTCGTTTCAACAATTTCAACGAAGACAAATTTACTACCACAAGCCAGTCCGGTGGTGGTCGTTTCGGCCGCGGACATCAATGGGGACCCCATTATGCGCCACTTCGTTGACTCTGTCTCTTGATACTTCATATTCACTTTTATCGCAGTGCAAAAAAAGGAGGGGAAAAAAACCCAAGAACCAACAAAAAAGAAAAAGCATCGCTTTAGCATTTCATCCCTTCTGCTTTCAGGCAGACAGTCCTGTCTTTGCCAGATTGCCTGACCGTGTCTTATCAATATCTGTTGACCCAGCTCCAAATTACCCAATCATTTCTGTGTTTCAATATTGCGAGTTATCACTGCTTGCCGATTTATTCATTTGGCTTGCTATCCCCAGTGGCTATCATCTCATCCAATCGTATAGATTGAAGCTTGGGGCGTGTCACGTTAAAATTTCTTGAGAAAACCCATATTGTTATTATCCAAATTCTATTCCATTCAAATATTTAACCCATGATGAACCTCGGCTGGATAGAATGGAATTTCAGGGAGCAGCGCTTGCAGTTTCATCGAAGGTAGTCACCACTTCATCCTTCTCCCATGGTTTCCGCCGCCGTGGTTTCTCGCTGGAAATATCGTGGCCACTGAGCACTGTGTCTGGGATATCTTGGATCCCAGGTATTGGTTGCCCCGTAGTGATAAGTTCCACAATGTGCGCAAACGACGATGGATAAGCAGGTTCAGGATTTGTTGAACTCTCAGGCCCAGACGTGCCTGGGTCCGACGCTTCAGAGATTTGCAAGGCTGTATTATTTAGCCCTTGGGGCTCCGTTGCCCGCCCTGCTAACCATGATTTGAAGGCAGCAAAGTCAATAGCTGGAGTGAGATTTTCTTTTCTATACTCAGATTAGTATCTGAACTATTCTATGCAGGAATTCTCAGCATACCGTGAGAAAAAGAAGCACTTTGCTTGCAGGACAAGGTCGTCATCCCGGTTCATCTCCACCTCGGTGGCGGGGGTGTTGGGATGACCAAGTATTATCGAGAGGCCATTTGCAAACTCCGGATCCGATGTGAAGGAGTAAGATTGTAGCCTTTCAAAGACCTGAGCTTCTGAGGGTTGTGCCATTGTTTGTTGAAGAATACACAAACGTCTGGGATGCGGAGGATGCGTGGGGCAATCTAATCTAAGCTGACTAGCCGAGGCTCATCCTCCAGGGCTCTGGTGCGTTCTCCAATTATTTACTCCGCAACTTTTCAACCTTTTGGGGGGGTTTTTTTTACTGCTCTCGGGAATAGTGAAAGCCACACAGTACTTGCAAGAAAAATGGTATTTTGTTATATAGACGCCTTACCTCCCCTATGCTACCTTTTGGCATGTGAACAGAAAAATCGAGGGATATCTTGCGACGCCAAACCATGCAATATTGAGATAATTCCGCGCCCTAGACCGTGATATCCATTCCACCTGACGTTGGGTTGGCTACCCCAGAGTGTAGGGGGGTACTTTTACTTTGACAGCCGGGGCAGTTGTGCACAACTTCATGTGCAAAGAGATCGCAGTCGATACAGAAATGGTTATGACATGCAGTACACTCGTAGCGACTGCTCACGCTCATTCCCTTGGCCTGGTTCTCTGCCATTTGCCAGTGATCTTCCAAAGGCACGGGGGGAAAAGAAAGACCACAGGAAAAGCAAGCGGAGCTTCGCGAGGCTCGACGCCAGGGCACCTCGACCCAGTTGATCAATGGAAACAGATGATGATACGATCGTGCCAGATGGGTTGAAAGGATCAATGTGAGCCCGCAAGATGGGCATTCAGCAGGAAGACTACACACTTTGCTGTTGCATCGTGAGCAAAGATAGCCTCCTCGTGAGGGCTTTGAATGGCATGCGCAGAGCGAGGGACTGGACTCCACTGTACGAGAAGGGAACCCCATCATCAGCAATGAGCTTGCAGATTCTTTCTCTGAGTAGGCGGCTGGGGGTGTAGTCACGTCCATCATCAGCTCCCGAAAGTGTTGCTCATTCAGTGCTACTCCATATGCTGTTTCATCACCACCATTGGTTTTTGTACAAAGTTCCCGGCAAATTGCAACCTGGGCTGCGAGCCCCACGATACCAACCCGAATTTTGTCGCTAATCAGGGTATCTATCGTTTGGTGGATGTCTCCAGGATCAGAGGAAAGGAGGGAACCATATATAAATAGCACTTCCCGAGTGCCATGGCTCGGTGTATGGCTAAATTCACTGATTAGTTTCGTTCAAATCCCCCAGGCTACATATAGCTGGTGTAAAGACATACAAAAGAGCACCACGTGCCATCTCCAATCCATTCTGAAGACTAGGCAAACCTTTTGGATCTTGTGTTTTGAGGGCTTGGATGGCTGTGAGGTGTTCTGTTGGATTGCCACTCATGTCACTGACTCGGAGCGCGAGACCATCTCTCAGTCCGAGGACACCAAGCTGGGAGATGGGATTTTGTTCAAAAAATTCTCTCACGAATTCCTGGGCATATCGGAGAGTCAACAAGTATCTTGTGGGTCGCAAATCTTTCTCGGACATGGACTGCGAAAGATCCAGAATTAGGATGAGATGTCGAATGATACCGCGCTGTAGTGGTGTTGTATCTTTCAGGAGCCTGAACGACCGATACACTTCAGCAAGAATATATGGATGTTGTAAGGTGAAGTGACTAACCTCTTTCGTTTTCCAGCTTCCAAAAGACCTTCGACAGTCGAGTTGATGGTACCATCTGCACCCTCCACCAGTGTCTCCCAGGTTCTGGATAGCTCCCATTCTGCACCTCCGCGCTGCTTTCTTTTGGCTCGTGGATTATCGCCTCGAGTCACCTGTAAATCATCTTCATCTTCTGTTACCTCGCCCACATATTCTTCGTCGGAGTCGGCCATATTCGTGGGTAAGAGTGGGGTGAGAAAGAGAGACAGAGAGAGAAGACCCAAGCGGAAGACCGAAAATGGTCCAAGCTTCCGACGGAGCTCCGTTGGAGAATATCCTCCCTGTCTCCTCTTTGACCAAGTCGCTAGTCGCAATTCCCTTCAAACTAAACCTTTTTGAAATAGCTCCGACGATAGCCGTAGACGGTTAAGCTAGAATTCCCCCGATGTGGGGAAGAAGATCCATTCGTGCTGGCGTAGCAGTTCAAGTCCTCCGTCCAGTCACTGTCCGCCCTGCCCCTCCTCTTCTTTCTCGCACACGACACAAACTTTCTCTTTCGCATTCTCCTCGACTGCCACCTCGACTGCCTACACCCGCTGCTATATTAGATCTGAGTTTCCCTCCCATTAGGCACTGTTCCTCCGAAGTCCGCATGATGGCGTCTCAAGAGCGCGAGACACTTCCTGACGTGTAAGTGATGCCCCGCGTGGGTTACTCTGTATCTTTTTTTTTTCTTGTCCCCTTTCGTTTCCCATATTTGAGCCCTCGTTTTCTTTCTGGTCTGAAGCATTAGAAACTGACATGACAATAGGGTTAAGCCTATCAACTACCACGTCTCTCTTTTCGATTTGCAGTTCGGTGGTTCATGGGGATACAAGGGCGCGTTGAAGATCGATCTCAAAGTTATCCGTGCTACCAACGAGATTGTGCTGAACTCTAAGGAGATCGAAGTACAAAATGCTGAGATATTGGGGAAAGATGGTACGTGTAGGATCGTATCATTGGTGTGATATGGAGAAAGGGGAAAAAAAAAACTAATACCGGTCTTCTTGTCATAGGGAGTCAATTGGCCAAAGCATCCGGAATCACCTATGATAAGCAATCGGAGCGAGTCTCCCTCGCTTTCTCGCAAGAGATTGCGCCGGCAGATGTTGTGCTTTCCATCAACTTTACCGGCATTATGAACAACGCCATGGCCGGGTTCTACCGCTCAAAGTATAAGCCCACCGTTGGAGAGCCATCTCCCGATACACCCAAGGAGGATGACTTTTACTACATGCTAAGCACTCAATTTGAGTCCTGTGACGCACGAAGGGCTTTCCCTTGTTTCGATGAGCCAAACTTGAAATCCACCTTCGATTTCGAGATTGAAGTCCCCAAGGGACAGACTGCATTGAGTAACATGCCCGTTCAATCTGAAAGAGACGGAAACAAACCCGGTTTGAAGTTCATCACGTTCGAGAAGACGCCGGTGATGAGCACCTATCTTCTGGCCTGGGCAGTTGGTGACTTCGAATACGTTGAGGCTATGACCGAGCGCAAATATCAGGGCAAGAGTATTCCTGTTCGAGTTTACACCACCCGGGGCCTTCAAGACCAGGCTCGTTTTGCACTGGAATGTGCTCACCGCACGGTTGACTATTTCTCGGAAGTCTTCGAAATTGAATACCCCCTCCCCAAGGCTGATCTCCTGGCTGTTCATGAATTTGTGAGTAACCTTTTCTTCTCAATGAGTTCCAGGCTTTTCATTCGAGCTAATTGCGGGTCTCTAGGCCATGGGTGCTATGGAGAACTGGGGTCTTGTGACCTATCGAACGACCGCCGTTCTCTTCGATGAAGGAAAGTCGGACAACCGCTACAAGAACCGCATTGCTTACGTTGTAGCTCATGGTTAGTTCCCACATTCCTTCAATCTCTGGATGTCTAGGTTTCAAGATGGCTTTGATATCTGACTCACTATATAGAGCTGGCTCACCAATGGTTTGGCAACCTCGTCACCATGGACTGGTGGAACGAGTTGTGGCTGAATGAGGGATTCGCAACCTGGGTTGGCTGGCTTGCCGTTGATCATTTCTATCCGGGTGAGCTTTTTTTTTCGCTTCGGGCCGATGACCCTATGATACAGTATCTAATGTGCAAGCAGAGTGGAATGTTTGGTCTCAGTTTGTCGTACGGAATGCCCGAGGTAATATCCACCATGCTAAGGCCGATATTGACGTTCTCCCAGGCTGAAGGTGTGCAACAAGCATTTCACCTCGACTCGCTCCGCGCTTCCCACCCTATCGAAGTTCCCGTTCGAAACGCCCTCGAGGTCGACCAAATATTCGACCATATCAGTTATCTGAAGGGAAGCTCTGTCATTCGCATGCTGAGTGTTCACCTCGGCAGAGAGACTTTCTTGCGTGGAGTTGCGGACTATCTCAAATCTCATGCATATGGTAGGGTGTCAAAGAAGAAGATTTTAACGAACATATGCTGAGTGGTTATAGGAAATGCAACCACAAACGACCTGTGGACTGCCTTAAGTAAAGCCTCCGGCCAGGACGTGCATTCTTTCATGGTAAGTAAATACCCAACCTTTGGCTCTCTGTTTGGCTCTCTATTTGGTCAACTCGAGATCTAACTGATTTGCCCTAGGATCCCTGGATTCGCAAGATCGGTTTCCCGGTTGTCACCGTGACAGAGGAGCCCGGCCAGGTCACCGTTAGCCAGAATCGATTCTTGTCCACCGGCGATGCGAAGCCAGAGGAGGATGAGACGAAATGGTGGATTCCTCTCGGCATCAAATCCGGACCGGAATTGGCTACTGTTGACACCCGTGCTCTAACCTTGAAAACCGACACCGTTGGAGGAATTGGGAAGGACTCTTTTTACAAGATCAACAAGGACTTGTCTGGGTTCTATCGAACCAACTATCCTCCTACGCATCTGGCAAAACTGGGCCAGTCGCTTGATCTCCTGAGCACCGAGGATAAGATCGGTTTGTTGGGTGATGCAGCCGCCCTTGCAGTCTCTGGCGAGGGCACTACGCCCGCCTTGTTGACTCTTCTAGAAGGATTCAAGGAAGAACAAAATTATCTGTGAGAAACATCTCCTTGTAGCCCTTTTCTGTCATTTCTGACCTCTCATCTTGCAGTGTTTGGTCCCAAGTCTCTGCGTCCCTGGCGAACATCCGGTCGGTTTTCTCACAAAACGAGAAAGTGGCCGAGGGACTGAAGCAGTTTACCCTTAAACTGGCTTCTCCAGCCGCAGAACGGATTGGATGGGAGTTCAAACCCGATGAGGACTACCTCATTGTGCAGCTTCGGAAGCTGCTCATTGCAATGGCCTGTAATGCGGGCCATGAAGGGTGAGCTCTTTCCCCTTGTCTCCCAATGTTGAACACTCTCTAATACAGTCTTAATATTTCATAGATTTGTCACGGAGGCCAAGCGCCGTTTTGATCTCTGGGCGACTGAAAAAGATACCAGTGCCATTCATACTAATCTGCGGTCAGTTATTTTCAGTGTCAATGTGTCCGAGGGCGGCCGTAAGGAGTACGATGCCGTTAAGGAAGAGTATATCCGAACCGACTCGGTGGATGGCAAAGAAATTTGCCTGTCTGCACTTGGACGCACGAAGGATGCTGCTCTGGTGGAGGACTACTTGAACTTTGTGTTTTCGGATAAGGTGGCTATCCAGGACATCCACAGCGGTGCCGTATCTCTGGCCGCCAACTCGAAGGTCCGGCATTTGCTATGGCAGTACATCAAGGACAACTGGAGTGCTGTCGAAACACGATTGTCATTTAACAATGTTGTGTTTGAGCGCTTTGTCCGTATGGGTCTATCCAAGTTTGCCGATCACCAGATCAGTGACGATATTGCGGCCTTCTTCAAGGGCAAGGAAACTGGGGCCTATGACCGTGCACTCGTGATTGTCTCAGACAACATTCGAACCAATGCATCCTATAAGGAGCGTGAGGAGGCATTGGTTCTCGAATGGTTGCAGGCACACGGTTACGCATAAATGCGTATCTATGAATATGATCGCTTTCTGATTTCTAGTAATATATTATTTTCAACTGATCTTTCTTTGATTTTTATGCAATATAAGAAGGAGGTTCTGGATTCTGGATTGTTCGGATCATTGGTCCAGTACCCACGAGGCTGAGTTTATGCACGGGATAAGATCAGTTGAGCAGGTGATCTCGGATAGAAGTGAAATCCAGTACAGAAGACTCCTTGTGATAGACGTATATTCAAAAAGAGAGCTAAAGATTAATCAAGAAGAGGTATATATATAGAAAATATATATACAAAGTAAAGAAAATCCGAGAAGTGGTGACATGAAACAAAGCTGCGCATCAGGTGCGTCTGCCTCCCTGCACCTCCTATCATTTCAGGCGACTGTTCCATCATTGTCCCCTCCCCCGACTTCCTAGGAACTTCGACTCCATCAACTTGTTTTTTTTCCCCCTTATATTCCTCTCGACTTGTGTGTGCTCTATCTCTATTTTCATTTCACCTTCTTCTCCGCCAAAGTCTCATCATGAATCCCGAGTGGTAAGCCTTCCCCATTTCCCATTTCCCCCCAAATTCCCTTCTAACTATGCGCCCTGCTTTGGTCGACTATACGAGCCTGTTTGTGTGTTGAACTTGACTGATGTGATGTTGATTCTAGAGTATCGTCGCGTCGCTGATTTGACCGACACACGACCTAAATCTCCAAACTTCCCGATCTCCGTTGCCTAACCATCGAGATAGATACGATTACCTTTTCAAGCTGCTCCTCATCGGTGACTCCGGTGTTGGAAAGTCTTGCTTGCTGCTTCGTTTTGCCGATGATACTTACACTGAAAGTTACATCTCGACAATCGGCGTTGACTTCGTACGTCTCCGAAGCTGCTGTGTATTTGACCGCAAGAGAATAGCGGTGCTGACGGGTAATTTTAGAAAATTCGCACAATCGAACTCGATGGCAAGACCGTGAAACTTCAGATTGTACGGCTATATTCAGCACCAACATTCAAAGCAAAGCTAATAATACATACAGTGGGACACCGCCGGCCAGGAGCGATTCCGTACCATCACATCTTCTTACTACCGAGGCGCTCACGGAATTTGCGTGGTTTACGATGTCACCGACATGGATTCCTTCAACAATGTGAAGCAGTGGCTCCAGGAGATTGACCGGTACGCTACCGAGGGTGTGAACAAGCTGCTCGTTGGAAACAAGAGCGATATGGAGGACAAGAAGGTCGTGGAGTACACCGTTGCCAAGGTATGCTTAAGGATAGATCCAGGGCTGTTCGGGCAGACTATTAACAGGTTGTGATTGCACTTTTACAGGAGTTCGCTGATAGTCTCGGAATTCCTTTCCTCGAAACTTCGGCCAAGAACGCGTCCAATGTTGAGCAGGCATTCTTGACAATGGCACGACAGATTAAGGAACGCATGGGAACGGCCACTGTCAACAACAAGCCGACTGTGCAGGTTGGCCAGGGCCAAGGTGTCCAGTCCGGATCGGCAGGTGGCTGCTGCTAAGCAACACGATGTTCTCTTTGTGTGGTGCGGTGCTTCACTTTGGCGCAATGTTACATCATGAATTGAGGGGTTTCAAGCGGCGTGGTATCTAATCGGCAGAAGTCAGGCTTGTCAGGCCTTTGGAAACTCGGCATGTTCCTGACGGGCAAGTAGAAACCTCTCCACGGAGCTGGCAATCGTTATGATGATGCCGTTGGGGGTCCTTTCTTGCCTTGGATTCGCTTTAGACGGCCTGCGTTCTATCCTCGTTTCTGCGTTTGCTTATGCGATTACCGCCGGTTTCTGCGTTCTCATGATTTCCTGGCCACGTCTCTGCTCTATTACCTTGGCCCATCATTCTCTCTGTGTCTTCCCCCCCCTTCGCCTTTTTATTTTCTATCTTCGCTTTTTTTTTCTGTAGGTTGGATTTCTCACTTGTGAATGGACTAATAGCGAGAACCTTGCGACTTCTCGAGGCATACTGCCTCACATGGGGCTACTTCTTCTATTCTGCTATAGTAAATTACTGCGTTGTATTATGTAGATTGTTCCCCAAGTTAAATATAAACGTATCATAAAGATGTATAATCACATGCAAGTCACAGGTGCCGACTCTAAGGTAACAAGTAGATCATCACTAATACATAACTATATATAAATAGCCTTGGAAGATACCTAGGTATACTAATTCCGGTTAATTTGAACGTGACACATCCAAGTCACTCGATTAGCCTGCAAGTACCGAGGAGATTAAGAAACACAAAAATCAAATTAAACCCATAAACTATATACAACATAATGTACTCTGTACTCCGTAAATAATCCTGCACCAAGTGGATTTGCGCTATGGGCATTTCGGAATGCAGTGGAGTTGGGTAAGAGCCGAGGCACACAGCACTTCGGCAAAACGTCATGAACATCCCATCCCCCTTCAAGCCGACTCATTTCGTTGGCCTTAAAAGTTCTGAAACATTCTTAACCTGACATATTTCATCTTCTTCCGCTCTTTACAGGCTATACGTTACATCTGAATACAGTTCAATAATCTAGCTCTTCCCATCATGTCTCGACCCGGAGCCGACCAGAGCAAGGCAGCATCTGCTGCCGTTCAGCAGAGTGATAACATCGCGCACGCGCTGGCGGGTGCGGGAGGGGGGGTTCTATCGATGGTCTTGACGTATGCTTCCCCGCGTTTCCCCATCGCTGCCGCTAACCCCATACCCACTCCAGATACCCTCTGATCACTTTGTCGACAAGAGCCCAAGTTGAGTCGAAGCGTGCGCACTCAACCACCCTTGACGCCGTACGCCGTATTGTACAAAGAGAAGGTATCTCGGGACTATATTCCGGCCTGGAATCAGCACTGTTTGGAATCAGCGTGACCAATTTTGTGTATTACTATTGGTATGAATTCACGCGTTCGGCCTTTGAGAAGGCCGCTATCCAAGGAGGTCGAGCCTCGAAAAAGCTTACGACGGTGGAGTCTATGATTGCGGGCGCCATTGCAGGGAGCGCCACGGTGCTGATCACCAACCCGATCTGGGTCATCAACACCCGCATGACTGCTCGCAAGTCAGAGGCGGAGGAAACATTGCCTGGTGCCAAGAAAACGAAGGCATCCACCCTCAGCACCCTAATGGACCTGCTTCGGCAGGAGGGCCCCAAGGCCCTATTTGCCGGCGTTCTCCCGGCATTGATTCTGGTGATCAACCCAATTCTGCAATACACCATTTTCGAGCAATTGAAAAATATGGTGGAGCGCCGCCGGCGTATGACGCCGAAAGATGCGTTCTACCTGGGTGCACTAGGCAAAATCCTGGCCACCAGCCTCACATACCCATATATCACCATCAAGAGCCGAGCTCATGTGGCCAGCAGGGATGGCCCCAAGGAGAGCTTGAACGGAAGCCTGAAGAGGATTATCCAGGAAGAAGGCTGGAAGGGACTCTACAAGGGTAAGCAATTTAGAGTTCATACTAGGTGGCTATTCACTGACATATTTTTTTTAAAATAAGGTATTGGGCCGAAGGTCACTCAGAGCGCCATCACTGCTGCATTTCTTTTTGCGTTCAAGGATGTGCTATATGATATGATGGTGTCTGCCCGTAGAAAGGCCCGCATCGCCAAATAGACGGGGAATGTTTCCAGGGCTACTAGACCTATGCGACAACTCACATGGTCACACTTTCTGGAGAGACAAAATCCGGACCCTAAATGTCCACCATGCATACTTGTTCGAGTGTGAGGAATGCGAGCGTATGTGCTAACTTTCACTTCACTTTCCCACTATTAAGAATGACTTGGTGAAAGTTCTCGGAAGTTCTTGGGAGCTCTCGGGAGCTCTATTAAAGCGATACCCAGGTACTGCAAATATGTAGTTTAGTTATTTACTTGAAATTTCACTCTTGTACTTCTTTTAATCATATATATAACTATATAACTACATATAAATAAAACTCCATACTTCAGACTTGACCGCCTTGTCTTAGTTCACCGCCCAAGACCGCTCTTACCCGCGTTATCGCGTTCTTGACGCGATTCTGCTCCATTTCTCCACACTTTCTCCTGTATCTTTCTGCAATCTGGGCAATTTTCAGTTCTGCGCATTGATTCCCCTACCCCTCTGTTTTTTAACCTCTCTTCAAACTTCGATACCCATTTCTCCCAGGTATGCTTCTCTCAGTGCCCTTGGGCGGGGAAAACTTCTAATGCATGACAGATCCAAGCTTGCCTTTCCATCGTCGCTCTTACTCTTACTCTTAGCTTGGGAGATCTATGCTCGCTACGGATATCGTCTATCCTGCCGATTCAGAAACAATATCTTGAACGACTGTATTGCCTAGGATTCAGCTCTAATAGAGCTCTCAAGGCTATACCGAGACAATTTATTTCCTACCAAAGCTATCTAAAGACATAGGCTTGCTTCTGCTGCAGGAAGGAACATAATCAGACCTAAGGGATTGACGGGTTGGAAGGGCAATAATACAATCCTCAGGTTCAGTGTGAACAAAGCGAGAGCGGGGGCCGATGTTATGTCTTTCTCACTTTGCCATCGTCCGACACCAGACGTGACTGAGCTTGAATTCATATCACTCAACTCGAACATGTGAGAGAGCTCTTGTTACTTTTACTATTCATATCTAACCCTTTCTCTCTCTTTAGCTTAGAACATCAGCTGTTCTACTGAAATGTCTCACGGCTTTTCCAGTCTTAATGGCCAGGGTCTTGTCCCTACGTTCCCTGGTCTGTCAGCCCGAAGCATCCCGGAGAATCCAGATATTCAACGTGAAACTCTCCGTTTGCTAGTCCAGTATTCTAGGGTCTCTTCTTTCCCAGATGATCCGTCAACTCCGGCCACCTCTGGCCACACGAGAGACGAGGTCCGAGATGCCTGGCAGACTCCGCGGACTGAAGTCCAGCCCAGTGAGGCGTCACCTCTCCAATTATCACATCGATTAACGCGTTCCTCAAGTGGTAGCCATGCCACTCAACCTTCTCCTTCCCGCTCTGTCATTCCTTCCTTTGGCAGTCGAATCCGGGTTTCCCCTCGCACTCCTTCCCGCTCTCCCTCTCGCACTCCTTCCCGACTTGCATCTCCTCAATCTGTTTCTGTGTCTATATCTTCCTCGCATGGCATCTCTCCTACTCATCGCGAGCGCCAACGGACTCTTAGGGAGAGTGTGGCAATCTCAAATGCCAGTAGGAACGATGAGATAGTTGCTCCTGTGTCAAAGCAGCACCACTCTTACCCACCAGAAACCATGTCATCTGCATCTAGATCCACCCACTTGCGATCAATATCGCCGACCGCCGAGCAAAGTTCCATTCGTCGCTCTAGTCGAAATAGAGTCCAACCGACCAACTATTACGCCAACCCTTGGGTCAATGTTCCCCTTGACTCTGAAGAGCCAGACACAAATATCGAAGCTGTTCCGGACACCGTTGCACCTTCCCCACAGGAGCCGTGTCGAATTTTACCCCGTCGTGCAAATGTCCAAAAGCTGCTGTACAGCCGTGAGCTTGGAGGCGGAAACCATCGCCCCATTGTCACCGATGTGGTCTCGGATCTGAGGCCATGGAAATCATGGCAAGGTGCTTCAGGGGATCTCCTTGTTCTGGCTTGGTCGCCTGATGGTACTCGGTTTGCTGCTGGCGCTGCAGCCAAATCAGACGAACACAATATGCAGTACAACAAGGCCAACAATCTTCTTTTAGGTGATCTTCAGAGCAATCGTCTAAAGGAAATACCGGACCATTGGATTCCACGGCCAACATCGTCAACGGTTGATGACCCACGGCTTTTTATGAGCGTTAATAACATGCAGTGGATTGGCAACCGACTCTACACTGCCAGTTTTGATAAAACTGTCAAGATTTGGGACGTGGAATCAACCCGCAACGTATCCTGTACCCATACCTTGCAGCATGAGTCTCGAGTGGCAGTGATGTCCGTGTCGAAATTCGATCCGAATGTATTGGCTACAGGGACAGAATCAATTTTGGTCTGGGACACACGAGATCCTGAAAATCTGACATCCACTATCCTGCCCCTCGACCGTGATGCAAGGTATAAGCCCAACTTTGAGTTTTCATCAACGGCCTTGGCCTGGGGGCATGCTCCGTCAACTGAGGAATTCTTGGCTGGAGGTCTAGCTGAACCAGGGGAGGATCTAATATACAAAGGTCACTTAGGCTTGTGGCGAGCCCGCGAATCTGCGTTTGAGACTATCAGAATGTCTTCCAACTCGCAAAATGTCTTCGACATTAAATGGCACTCTTCATTGCCAATATTTGCAACGGCCAGTCCCGAGGATCCTCACAACGCACGCATAAAAGGTATTGGCATCACCACGAAATCAATCGTGAGGGTGTTTAGCCTCAATTGTGACCTCCAAAAGCGTGTGCCGTCCGTGATGGAATTCTCCTGCCCTGCATTAGATGTCAATGAGATCAGTTTTTGTCCAATGGACTCAAACGGCACATATGTGACTGCTAGTTGTACGGACGGCAAAACCTATGTTTGGGATAATCGGAAGGGTGATAGAATTCTTCATGAACTCCGTCATATGGCCCCCCTGAACCCCATTGATCACCAGCGAAGCCGGGAAACGGCGGACGTGGGGGTGAGGGTAGCTCTCTGGGGTTCTTCTATGGACCAATTCTATACCGGTGCCTCCGATGGTGTCCTTAAGCGATGGGATATCCGCCGGTCTCCTGAAGATGTTCTCGTTGAGGATGTTGTATCCTTCGACGAGGAGATCATGTGTGCAGCCTTTACAGAGGATCAGTCTCATCTTCTCGTCGGGGGTTCCGGAGGAGGGGTGCACATCTTATCGTCGGGACCTTGTTCAGACCCGAACATAAGAAGTTTCGAGTTCGAACATGCTCCAGAACCTGAAAAGGCTAGCGATAGTGGCATCGTTGCGGGAAACCAGCTCGTCTCATCCGGCCAGGTTGTGAGGCATGGAACATTTGGTATGGGTCAAGGGCCCTCTTACACGGGGCCTTTTGCCTCGTGGGCTAGGAACATCAAGCAAGACGTTTCTTCTGACCGAATTGGGCAGCTCCCTTTGCTCCAAAAATACCAGAGCCAACAGTTGGATGGCCCGCCGCCGGAAGACCGTCATGAACTCGATTCGAACCAGCGAAGTGAGGTTGAAAGACAGATCCAACTTGCAGAGATACGAAATCGAGGATTCCATAAGAGAAAATGCCAGGAGCATGATGATTCTTCTACGTTCATCTTCCAGGGCCCCGTATCTTCCCTTGGCTCTTCCAGGCCGGGGAAGAAGAGAAAGAAAAAAGCCGAAAAAATCGAAGTAAAAAGGGAAGAAAATCAAGAGGAGAATCGAGATGAGCAAGAGGACCGTGGGGAGAATGGAGAAGGCAACAAAGAAGTGAAAGCGAAAAAGACATCTCGGACAAAACGGAAGGCCCGCAAGCTCTCGCGTCGAATAATCAGCAATACCGAGGATGTTGACCTTACTCTACTGGACTCGGATACGGAGATGGGAATGTTAAACCGACAGCGGTTTGACCTCGAGGAACTACTTGAGGTTTTGGAAGAGGATAACTGGTTCCCAGCTAGTGGAGAAATTGACCCAAATATCCAAGACGAGATCGTCTAATGCGAGAGCTTTCTTTTTGCATAGCATTGAAGCGTGGAGTTTTGATTTGGTTGTCTTTTTTAAAAACAATTCACGTTACAGCGTTACAGCTTACAGCGAAAGAGCGATAAATTTGTGTATGTACAGTTGGACAATATGGCCGATAGGCTGAAATCTTGAATGTGGTAGCCTGTAGGATAGGCAGATAGATGTATATGATGTTGCTATACCGTATATGATCTTTATATGGTGACATCAGGGGCACTGCCACCGACCTCGGGGAGGCGCAGTCAAGATGCCTGAGGCCACAATTATCCGCTTACTTCCCGCTCAGTATATATCCAATGGAAGAACCAAGAGCTCCTCTCTCTTTCTCTCTTTCACTCTTTCACTCTCACTCTCTTCTCTTATCCGCTTATAAACCTAACCTCCTTGATATTGTCACACTTCAAGCTTTCAGCCTTGCAACTTATTCAAGCTAATCATACCTGTCACAACATGTCGTTCGCCCCGCCTTCCGGGCCTCCCCCGCCCTCGGTACCTGAGGGATGGAAAGCGCAGTATGACGATCGATACCACGCTTGGTATGTATTTACCCATCGTAATATAATACTAAAGTACTAACTATCAGCTAGGTTCTATGTGGACCTCGCTACGGGGAAATCACAATGGGATCGCCCCGAAGCCCCCCCACCGCGTGGTGACGGCAATCTTCCAACCAATTCTCTCCCGCCATCATACAGCAATGCCGGGCCTGGCGACCCAGCAGCAATAGCCAGTGCGGGAGACCAGAAGCAACACATGGGATCAAACAATCCCTATAACCCTTCAACAAATACTGGCCCAGGCAACGCCAGCCCTCACATGATTGACGAAGACGCACGACTTGCTGCTAAGCTTCAAGCCGAGGAAGATGCCCGGGCCGGCATACGAGGACCCGGAGCTGGACTAGGAGATCGTGGCGCCTCATCAGACTACTACAATGATGCCTCGCGGCCGCAGTCCACTGGTCCAGGCGGATATGCGGCGGGCCCAGCATCGCATAGCCCGATGCCTGAGCAGGAGCAGAAGCGCAGCAAGGGTGGATTTTTGAGCAAGCTGATGGGCAAGAGCTCAAGTAGCAGGCCGGCTCGGCCGCAGCAACAGTACGCCTCGTATGTCCAGCAAGGTCCTCCTCCTGGTGCATACTACGGTGGTGGTGGCTATCCTCCGCAGCAAGGGCCTCAGCCTGGATACGGAGGTGGATACGGAGGGTACCCGCAGCAAGGTGGATATTACCAGCAGCAACCGCCTCGCAGGCAAGGTGGAGGAGGTATGGGAACTGCCGGTGCTGCTGCCCTGGGTGTTGGTGGCGGTTTGCTTGGCGGTATGTTGATTGCTGATGCTATCGATGATCATCATGACAACGATGATTACGGCGGCGGCGGCGGCGGTGGTGGTGATGACTATGGTGGTGATGACTTCGGAGGAGGCGACTTCTAAGCTCGGCTGCGTTTCGTATTCTTTGATTTTTCTGCTCTTTTCTTCTTTGGTTTGTTACTAGGATCGACTTCGGGATAAAGGACAGGGCTCTGTACAGCTCGAGGGACTTCTAGGCGCTTTGACATTGGGAGGGATTTGGGAGGATTGCTTTTGTTTTGCCTAAACAGCTCTAGTCATTTATTGGCATTGGGCTTCAACTTTTATGAGCCAAGAGCAGCTTCATTTAACTTTGTATCATACAATTAGCCACGAGACAATGACAAGATACCATGTCAAGGAACGGTCAACATAATGAAGTAAGAGTCTTCTATCCACGCCTCCGGGTAGAACCACTGGTATCTCTACCAGTTGAACCAGCCTGAGGTGCATCGTTCGCCGCGGGGTTGGGGGCGCCAGTGCCCGCCATCCAGCTAGCCAGATCGAACCCGCCACCAGTCATGGCATTGGTAGTGGCACCGGTGATGGGAGAGGAGCGAGAATGCTGCTCAAATTCGGCGCGCATCTCAGGATCCACTAGACAACGGTGTTAGGCACCGAATGTTTAATTAGGGTCAAAGGGGGATGGACATACTGTTATCCATGAGCTTGGGCATGACAAACATGAGACCCAGCGCGACAACTGCAAGCAAGACCATTGGGTTCTTGACAAGACTCAAGGGAGAGACTGTGATTCCATCCGAGATTAGCACAAAAAATATAGACATTTATTTACTGCAGGTTGTATCTGCAGCAGGAAGAGGGGGCAAGCTCACATTGAGCACGTTGCTCATAGAAGACCTTCCGTCCAAGAACCTTCGCCTCGACAACCACATCAACCTGCTTCTTTCCAGCAACATCCACAATATATTTCTCCGCGCCACGATTATCCCACGGGTTCCCGCGGAAAGTCTCCCAGATACCGAGAATGGATCCATCAGCCGCAACATCGACGCGGTAGGGGGCGAAGACGTACTCGCCAGCGGAGCGGATATCAAGCAAGTAAGACTCAGGCTGAGCATCTAGACCGGAGGATGGGAGATCATGAAACACAAATGTTGCGGAGCGGGTCAGCGATGCGGAAAGGATGTGGTCTTTCCCGCCAGAGGGGAGGGTGGTGAGAGTGGCATGGCTGGTTGCGGGGAGGACATGCGGGTTTGGGAGAGGACTAGAGACGGGGATGGTGATTGTCAAAGAGCTAGCGGATACCAGACTACTAATCCCTAGCAGGAGAAGAGGGGAGAGCGAAAAATGCATGGCGGAGATGTGTTGCTGTGGAAGATGGAGGGCCATGAACCGATCACCAAGCAGTGTCAGAATCACGTGATACATATCTTCTCGAGCTCTTGGATGTGTACGACCAAAGCATCTCGAATCACCGAAACCATCATCTTATTTCCCCCAACCCCAGAGCATCATGCCTGTCTACCTTATTTCCAGGTACAAATACTTCCACACGGTCCAGCTGTCTCCGACAAGAGACCCATCATTCTAACGCCGTCTGAATAGGATCGCGGATCCTCTCTTCGCCCTTACCATGGGCGTCTCTGCTGCGCTCACTCGCATCCGCCGTGACCAGCGCGAACAGCACCCCGAGCGCGCATCAGAAATCACATACGGAAGCATTGTACAAACGAGCGGGCATCGGTTACAACGGTGGTGGAACGGAGACTTCCAAGACGTTTAAACAGGAATTGCGATACATCGTCGGCTTGGAGTTCTGGTTTGGGAATTCTCGCAAAAGAGAATTAATATTGATTGTTGAATCTTGTATTCTATTTGTACATATCTACATATACGAACTGGTCGTCCAATTGTATGGAATGATTACTTTTCACACGTGCGCGACAAGGAGATGAATGCGAGTCCTGTATAGCTATATTCTAATACAAGTCTTAGAAAGGGGAAGGGAAGGGGGGGAGGGTGTAAGAATAATATAGGAATACATTTGTGTTCTACTATCTACAGAAAGAGTGTTTTTTGAATTAAAATGAATTTTGATTCACTAGGAATTTTTTCCCTAGACGAGATAACCTTGTATCTATGCAATCATGCGCAAAAAGGAAACTTTGATACCCCATAAGTTCGTAAAACAAGACGTGAAAGGAAACGAGTGCCAAATGGCAAATAAGAAAGAATCATTCAGAGCGAAACGTTTAGTCAAGCTCCTCGGGCTTCTCCTCAACCTCGTCAGCGGAGCGAGCACCACCCTCGGGGGCACCAGCGCCAGGGGGAGCCTGGCCGCCGTAGGCAGCAGAGATGATGGGGTTGGCAACAGACTCAAGCTCCTTCTGCTGGGACTCGTACTCGTCCTTCTCAGCAGTCTGGTTGCTGTCGAGCCAGCCGATGACCTCGTTGATCTTGTCCTCGACCTTCTTCTTGTCATCCTCGGAAATCTGGAGCTTGCCCTCGGAGAGAGTGTTCTTGAGGGAGTAAGCGTAAGACTCAAGGCCGTTCTTGGCCTGGATGCGAGCAGACTCAAGCTCATCCTCCTCCTTGTACTTCTCAGCCTCGGAAAGCATGCGCTCGATCTCCTCCTTGGAGAGACGGCCCTTGTCGTTGGTGATGGTGATCTTGTTGGACTTTCCGGTACCCTTCTCGAGAGCGGAGACGTTCATGATACCGTTGGCATCAACATCGAAGGTGACCTCAACCTGGGGAACACCACGGGGGGCGGGGGGAATGCCAGTGAGCTCGAACTTTCCGAGGAGGTTGTTGTCCTTGGTGCGGGCACGCTCACCCTCGAAGACCTGGATCAGGACACCGGGCTGGTTGTCGGAGTAGGTGGAGAAGGTCTCGGACTTCTTGGTAGGGATGGTGGTGTTGCGCTTGATCAAAGGAGTCATGACACCACCGGCGGTCTCAATACCGAGGGAAAGAGGAGCGACATCGAGAAGCAGGATCTCGTTGGTGGACTTGGAAGACTGGTCACCGGACAGGATAGCGGCCTGGACGGCGGCACCGTAGGCAACGGCCTCATCGGGGTTGATGGACTTGTTGGCGTCCTTGTTGAAGAAGTCGGAGACAAGCTTCTGGATCTTGGGGATACGGGTAGAACCACCGACGAGGACAATCTCGTGAACGGAGGACTTGTCAATCTTGGCGTCACGGAGGACACGCTCAACGGGCTCCATGGTGCCGCGGAAGAGATCCTGGCAGAGCTCTTCGAAACGGGCACGGGTGATGGAGGTGTAGAAGTCAACACCCTCGAAGAGAGAGTCAATCTCGATGGAGGTCTGAGCAGCGGAAGAGAGGGTACGCTTGGCACGCTCGCAAGCGGTGCGGAGACGACGGAGAGCACGAGCGTTGGTGGTGAGATCCTTCTTGTGCTTGCGCTTGAACTCGTTGACGAAGTGGTTGACCAGACGGTTGTCGAAGTCCTCACCACCCAAGTGAGTGTCACCAGCAGTGGCCTTAACCTCGAAGATACCCTCCTCGATGGTGAGGAGAGAAACATCGAAAGTACCACCACCAAGATCGAAGATCAGGACGTTGCGCTCACCCTCGACCTTCTTGTCAAGACCGTAGGCAATGGCAGCGGCAGTGGGCTCGTTAATGATACG